TTCTTCTTCTTCTTCTTCTTCTTCTTCTTCTTCTTCTTCTTCTTCTTCTTCTTCTTCTTCTTCTTCTTCTTCTTCTTCTTCTGTGTTGTAACAGATCCTCAGGCATCTTGGAGAGAGAGGGAAGAGAGAGAGAGAGAGAGAGAGAGAGAGAGAGAGAGAGACATCACAGCTTAGCTTAGCTTCTTTTCTCGGGCAGCAGCATCCCCCCAGCTACACACACAGACAACAACACAACATATAGATTTCGGAAACAGGAACCCCACAGGGATCATCATCCCCTATCCCATCCCAACGGTTTTGTTTTCTTCAGGTGATGCGAGCAACTCATCGGCTGCTCCTGCTCGGCGCCGGAGAGAGTGGCAAAAGCACGATTGTGAAGCAGATGCGCATTCTGCACATCAACGGATTCAATGCGGACGAGAAGCGGGAAAAGATCAAGGATATTCGGAGGAATGTGCGCGATGCGATGCAGGTGTGGAGTTGGATCGAGTTGACTTTTTGGGAAAAATGAATCAGTTCAAAAAAAGTTTGAGCTCAATTATCTCGGTTCCTGTAGGAGATATTGAAAATCTCTCAACTGATAAAATGTTTATCATAATATCAGTAGAATTTTGTTAGTTAACAATTTGTTCATAGCTGTTACAGAAATCGAGATAATGTAGGTCAAAAGTGGCAATGGCTTATTATTACCGCTTATTATCAGCTCAGTGGAAGCGCGCACTTTGGGCTTGCTTATCTCGGTTTCTAAAAAAGATATCAAAACTCTGTCAACTGATAAAATGCTTATCATAATATCAGTAACATTTTGCTAGTTGACAATTTTTTGATATATCTTACAGTAATCGAGATAATTAGGATCAAAAACTGGCAGCGGTACCGACCGTGTAGCTCATTGGAAGTGCTGCACTTTGAGCTGAATTATCTCGATTCCTAGAAGAGATATCAATAATGAATAAACTGATAAAAAAGATTCCCAAAAGAAATCATAAGAATTTGTCAACTAATGAAACATTTGTCGTAAAATCAGTAACATTTTATCAGTTTACAAATGTTTCATATCTCAAATAGGAATCGAGATAATTGAGCTCAAAATTGAGGTACTTGAAGGGATTGAGAATTACAGAAAAATAAAAAAGGCCAAATGAATCCAGAAAAATTCCAAAATCCAAATAATTTCAAAATTTCAAACGTGAAAATCGGGAGAGGATCAGAAAATTCCAGAATTCCTAACCCCCTGAAAATCTGGAAATCTAAAAATTTTAGTTTAAAAAGTTTATTTCAACCTTGAAGAAAAAAATCTCGATATTTTCCGATTTTCCAAAATTCAAAAAATTCAAAATTACGGAATTTCAAACTTTCAAAAGTTAAGGAAACTTCTTCAAAACTGAAACATTTGTTTTTTTTCGAAAAAAGTGTATTTCAGTTCATTATAGCACATCGGAGCATTAGTAATGAGCCACCAGACTTGATAAGTTTAGGGAAAAAAAATCTTCCACTTGAATAAACCAAATTTTGAATTTGATTTTTGAAAATTCCAGTTCTTTATTATTTCTATAAATATCTAAAACACAGATGACTAGGAAGCTCGTAAAATTTCAAAGCGATCTGTATAAAAATCAAGTTTCTAGGACCACGGAGAGCCGAGTTATAGTCCTTTAAAGTTTGCAACGAGAGGTTGGAGACGCAGGCGCGCAGACAGTCTGCCTGTCGGCGTCTCCTCCATCCACACACTCACTCGCGCGCTTGAAGCTTCAAAAGCTCGTAACTCGGCTCCTATAAGGCCTAGAATCTTGATTTTTTCACAGGTCTAACTGAAATTTTACGGGCTTTTTTGTCAATGTATTTTTGGCGTTTTTTCCTCACAGTCAAATGTGTAAGGATACTTTTCCCAATTTTGATACAAATCTGTATAGACGATTCCCATAGCGACAACTCTTGTTTTCATTGTGTTAACTCTCTTTTTCCCCCTTATTATATTTACACCTTTTTATAAATATAAATATACTAATATAGTGGTTGTCAAGGCGTGTGCTTGCTGCCTGTTGATGTGATAAAAATGCTATGTGCCTTCTTCTTCTCTTTCTCTCTCTCTCTCTTCTTTTTCGCCTCTTGATAAACAAATCAAGCCACCGGGAGGACGGAGAAAAAGAGACGTTTTTCGTCTCTAGCTTCTCTCACTCTCTCGTTCTCTGAAAAATGGAGAATCTATTTTTAGAATTGCTCTCCCCCTCCTCTCGGCCCGCCCGGGTGCCGCTTATCGATTTTAAGGCATATAATGCATACAAATGTGCAGGCAGCACATGCTCTCTTTTTCTTTTTTCGGGGCAGGGACCAAAAAGAGAGAGAGAGAGAGGAGGAAGAGGTCCTCCAAGTGCTCCTAAAAGAAGGGAATTGGAAAAGATGTGATTTTCATGGAGAAGAGTGAGGACCACTTGAAAAGAAGACATAGAAAAGATGGGGTTAATTGAATTTCAATTAGTTTTTGGAAAAGTGAAGAGAACAGAAAAGTGATTGTTTCAAAAAAAAAAATCAGAATCATCAGAAAGCTCATAAAATTTCAAATCGTTCTGTAAAAGAACTAAGTTTTTAGGACCACGGAGAGCTGAGATATAGCCCTTTGAAGTTTGCAGCGAAAGAGGGAGACACAGGCGCGCAGACAGTCTGCCTGTCGGCGTCTCCTCCTTCCTCACGCTTCCTCGCGAGCCTAAAACTTCTAACGATTGTAACTCAGCTTCTATAAGTGCTAGAAACTTGATTTTTGTACTACTCAAACTGAAATTTCGTGGGGTTTTTGTGAATACATGTTTGTTACAATTTTGATGACAAAACTATATTACAATAATGGGGAAATTGAGCTCAAACGGGGATTCTATAAGTTGAATCCACCTTTTAAAATCTATATTTTTCAGGTAATGCTAAAAGCAATGGAAGAAATCGACCCGCCAATCGCCCTCGACCAGCCAAGCACCGCTGCCAGCAGAGACTACGTGATGAGCGTCACCAACGATCCAGAAGACAATTATCCACCAGTCAGTTAATTAGCCAATTGAAATTTGAATATTTCATTAAAAGAATCCGGTTTCTAGGCTCATTTGGAGCCGAGATATGAGCATTTGAAGTTCTAGGAGTTTTCGTCTCTTCAAATGACTATATCTCGGCTTACAGAAATCCTAGAAAAATGGTTTTCTCTGGAAAAATAACAGAAACTACCGTAGTCATTCATCTAAATTTTCTATGATTCCAGGAGTTCTACGATCACATCCTCGTCTGCTGGAAGGATAAGGGAGTCATCGCATGCTTCGAGAGATCCAGCGAGTACCAACTCATCGATTGCGCACAATAGTGAGTTTTTTTTTTTTTCCAAAAAAAAATACCAACAATTTTACACAATTATGTGAAAAAATCAAGTCTCTAGCTCTTCTGGGAGCCGAGATATAGCGGTTTGAAGTTTGGGAAGACGCAGACAGACAGAGTGCCTCGTTGTCTGCGTCTCCCCCTTCTCCACGCTCTTTCGTAGAAGCTTGGAAAGCTGATATCTCGGCTCCTAGAGCTCCTAGAAACTTGATTTAAAAACAGGTTTGTAGGGAAAAGCAGTGGCTATTAGATGAAACCGATTGCTAATAACTTTTTCAAATCTTTTTCGACAGTTTTCAAACAAAAACTTATATTCTTTTATATTTTCTGAAAGCCTGAAAAATTTGAATTCATAGTGTCAAAAAACGAGTCTTCTAGCTCACCGGAGAGCCGAAATATGGCTCGCGCAAGTTTGCGGCGAGCGGGAAGGGGAGGAGAGACGCAGGCGCACAGGCTGCCTCCCTGTCGGCGTCTCCTCTTTCCGTACACTCCCTCACGCGCCTAAAACTACAAATGCTTGTAACTCCGCTCCTATTGGGTCTAGAAACTTGGTTTCTTTACGGGTCTAGCTAGAATTTTGCGGGCTTTCTTATGACTACGCTGAAATTTTTCGAGAAATTTGAATTTCAAACTTTCAAATCTCCAAAATTTTTCAGCTTCCTCGACAAAGTCGACATCGTCCGCCAGAACAACTACGATCCATCCGAGCAAGATATCCTTAGATGTCGTGTCATGACCACCGGAATTTTCGAGACCAAATTCGAAGTCGACAAAGTTAGATTCCAGTGAGTCCTGAGAGAGTCCAATAGAGCACATTTACCTTTTTTGAATTCCAGCATGTTCGACGTCGGAGGCCAAAGAGACGAACGACGAAAATGGATTCAGTGCTTCAACGATGTGACGGCTATTATCTTCGTCTGCGCTTCATCGTCCTACAATCTCGTTCTCTGGGAGGATAACACCCAAAATCGGTGAGTTTAAAATCTTTTTCCTTGTTTTCAGTATCCAAAATTTGATATACTGTACTTTATCAGAAAGCTCTTAAAATTTCACAAATTTCTAAAAAAGAACCAAATCTCTAGGACCACTGAGAGCCGAGATATAAGCTTTTCAAGTTTGGAGAGACGCAGACAGTCAGAGTGTCTTGTTGTCTGCGTCTCCTAAAAATTCAAGTGCTCATATCTCGGTTCCTAGATGAGCTAGAGAGCTGGTTTTTGAGCTAATTAATAGAGAAATTCCCATGTTTCAATTTCAAAAATATTTCCAGACTCCGCGAATCGCTTGCCCTATTCAAAAACATCTGGAACAACAGATGGCTGAAAACCATCTCGGTCATTTTGTTCCTCAACAAACAGGACTTGTTGTCCGAGAAGATCAAAGCCAGCGCTATTTGCTCGAGTCGTTCTTCCCCGAATTCGAGGGATACAATCTGCCAAACGACGCCGTCTATGACAACCAGGAAGATCGTGATGTGGTTAGAGCCAAGTATTTCATCAGAGGAGAGTTCTTGGTGAGTATTTATATTTTTTTCATGATCATTTCTGTGAAAAAAAACAAGTTTCTACGACTCCTAGAGGTCAAGATATGGTCCTTTGTAGTCTCAAGCGAGCGAAAGAGTGTGAAGAAGGAGGAGACGCCNNCNGGCTGACAGTCCGCGCGCCTGCGTCTCCTCCCTCTCAGCGCCAACTTTGAAGGGTCTAACTTGGCTCTCTGTGGTCCTAGAAACTTGATTTTTTCACAGATCAATTAGAAATTTTCTGAACTTTCTAATGAACTAAAAATCTAAAAATAGCATTTCAATTCTAAAAATAAAGTCAGACAAGAGTAAAAATAGATTACCCAGACACTGGTGGGAGATTAATCTTTGAGCAGTTGAAACAAAGTTCTATGAATAGAAAAAAAATTTCACTAATCCTTGTCTAGTTGAAATTGAGGACACTGATAGGAGGGATTAGGTGAGAGGGATTTGGGTTTCCAGATAAGGGGGATTATGAATTGTGGACTTTTTTGGTTTTGAAAAGTTATAGGGATCATATCTCAAGATCTAGGAGTAATATTCCTTTTAATTTTCTACTCATATCTGTATAATAATCACTTTTCTAGCTAATCTTCGTGCCGAGATATGATTATTCGAAGATATTGAGAGAAGCAGACGGTCTTTATATTCACAAAAAAGCCCGTAAAATTCTGAACAGATAAAAAAATCAAGATTTTAGGACAAGTAGGAGCGGAGTTACAAGCGTCTGAAGTTTTAGGCGCGCGAGGGAGTGTGCGGATAGAGGAGACGCCGACAGGCAGACTGTCTGCGCGCCTGCGTCTCCCCCTCTCGCTGAAAAGTCTAACGGCTATATCTCAGCTCTCCGTGGTTTTAGAAACTTGATTTTTTCACAGATCGATTTGAAATTTTACGGGCTTTCTGATGCATATAAATGTCTGATTATCTGATTATTCCAAAATTTTTCATAACATTTCAAATAGCGTTATCTCGGCTTGTAGGGATCCTAGAAAACTGGCTCTTTTACCGAAACGTGTGATTTTTCTCGGAGTTTTTTGTAACCTATAAAAACTGTATAAAAATTATAATTTTACAGAGAATATCGACCGCCAACAGCGACGGTCGCCACCACTGCTACCCACACTTCACGTGCGCCGTCGATACGGAGAACATTCGTCGTGTGTTCAATGATTGTCGCGACATCATCCAACGTATTCATCTCCGACAATACGAGCTGCTCTAAGCAGTTTCTTGGAGTTTTGGGAACATTTTCCAGACTCCCCAATTCCCTCCCCCAATATCCCTATTAAGGATACATCATATATTTTTTTGCCCTCCAATCTCTCTTTCTCTCCTGCTCTATTCTTCTCCGTGTGTGATCCGTAATGTGTTCAAGCCGGTTGTTCTTGGCCCCGCCCCCTCCTCTTTCAGAATATTTTTTTGAGAGTACTCTCCCTATCTATTTGTATGCACCGTTCATTTTTTTTCTCATTTTTCTCTGATCCTCTCACTCTCTTGTCCCCCAAAAACCACAACAACATCTTGATCCGCCCCCCCTTCTCCCACCGCTTTTTCTTGCCGTTTATGTGCGTTTTCTTTCATTTTCATTTTCATTTTTTTTCTCTAATTCTCTCTATCTCTCCTGCATTTGTTTTCTACAAAATCTCCCCTTTTCATGCCCCACGCGCAACTTGACCGATGTCGATTCCAAACCCAAAGAGATGCCAAATTTTGTAAGCCCCGCCCCCAATTATTTTCCCTAGCCACGCCGCCCCCCCCCTCCCCCCTAACCTGGAATCGTACATCGGCCACGAAGCTCAAGCCTATTGTGATACTTCTTTGCCCCCCCCCCCCCCCAAACAAAAGTTTCTATTCCCCCTCGCACAACGATATTTCACCCCTCTATATCCGAACATTCTCAAAATTCTCCTCTATTCCCAACAACTTTTAGCATGCTTGCCTTCTGATTCTCGAAGTCTCTCAAAAAAAAGTGTGTAAGTTTTTTAGTGTATTCATCAGAAAGCCCGTAAAATTTCGGATCGATCTGTGAAAAAATCATGTTTCTAGGACATCTGGGAGCCGAAATATGGCGCGCGCAAGTTTGCGGCGAGAGGGAGGGGGAGGAGAGACGCAGGCGCGCAGGCTGTCTGCCTGTCGGCGTCTCCTCTTTCCGCACACTCCGTCACGCACCCAAAACTTCAAACGCTTGTAACTCAGCTTCTATTAGTCCTAGAAACTTGATTTTTTCACTGGTCTAGCTAGAATTTTACGGGCTTTTTTATGAAAACACTTTTTTTCACAAAATCACTCTCTTATCAGCTAGATCACACTAACACGCTCATCCCTATCTCCTCTCAAATCTATTTCTCAGAATCCATGCTTTATTCTTGTTTTTTGTGTCTTCTCTTTTTTTTTTCTTGAAAACCCGTTCTCTCTTTCTGTCTCATCCCAAAAAACTCTCTCTCAGAGTCTCGTTTTCTTTTGCGAATTTGCTAATCTATAATCTCCCACCCAAAAATATTTATTATATCAATGATTGTAACAGCACAAACAAAAAAATTTGAAAAACGAAACTTTCAAAATTGTTCTTAAAATATGCAACTGCAGCTGTTTTTCTTTCTTCCCCACACCATCGATTCTCTCGCCCCCCGAGCTTGATTTTTGGCGTTTCCGACCCAATTTTTTGAGATAAAATTGATTTTTTTAGGTCTGAAACCCCGAAATAGGCTCCCTAAGGCTTTTCTTTCTCATCTTATCGTAGGCAACCCCCACACCATGCGACGTGTAACTCTTTTTATACAATTTTTCCTGTTTTTTCCCCTCTTTTTATTCTTTTTTTTCTTTCCCATTCAATTATATTCTCTGCACAAAAATACCCATATTTTTCCCCATATTTTTTTTGTCTTTTTTTCAATCCCACCCCAAAAAATTCATTTTTTCAATTGTCTCAAAAAAACCCTTCATTCAAATTTTATAAAACATTTTTGAATTCTTCTTTTTTTCTTTTTTAAGACAAATCAAAATACAAAGACTCAAAAAGATAAAACAAAGACATTATTGAAAAAATTTAGATTATTAGTAAATACAAATTAAGTTTGCATTCGTCAGAAAGCCCGTAAAATTCCAGATCGATCTGTGAAAAAATCAAGTTTCTAGGACAACGGGGAGCAGGGATATAGCACGCGCAAGTTCGCGGCAAGAGGGAGGGGGAGGAGAGACGCAGGCGCGCAGACAGTCTGCCTGTCGGCGTCTCCTCCTTCCTCACACTCCCTCGCCCGGCTAAAACTTCAAACGCTTGTAACTCAGCTTCTATTGGTCCCAGAAACTTGATTTTTTCACTGAACTACTTAAAATTTTATGGGATTTTTTTTCGATATACATTTGCAACTTTTTTTTTACACAAAAAGTAATCACAAAATCAAGAAAGTGGAGCTTAAATAGGGGTGGTGTTCAGGAAAGGAAGATTACCGTCAGAATCTTCGCCAGCTCACTCTAACTTTCTGGGTTGTTTGGTTTTTAGGTTATTATTTTTCTTTAAAGCTGATTTTCCGTTTTTCCAGTTTTTGTTTTAAAAAAAAGTTTGCAGTTCTCAAAAAATCTAGAACATTCTATAAAAAGTTTCAAAACATTTGAAATTGTGTTAAATCAAAATTACAAATTATAAAACTTCATTGAAAACGTTCTCTAACAGTTAATTGTCTCTATTTAGGGGTAATTAATTATTCAATTAGTCTCTTGTCAATGCTCTCATGACCTCTCTGATGACGCTGGTGATGGCTTCTTTGGTGTATTCATCACTGCAAAAATAAAATTTCTTTTGAAATTTTAAAAAATTGTGTCCGGATATCCAGATGTCCGCAAGAACTCACTCAAATGGAGGAATACGAATGAGAAGCGTTTTTTGAGAGCTCTCACGAAGAGTCAACGAATACAGGTAGTTGTCGATGGATCTGAAAATTTTCGAAAATTTTGAAAAGTAGAAAAATCCCAAAAATAAAACAGAAACTTTAAATTTTTTTCTTCGAAATATTGATTTTTCTGAAAATAGGAAATCTCAAATTCCTGGTTTTTTTCTATGATATTTGATAAGTTTCAGAATTTCCCAAATTTACCTCTCCATATTTTCCGATTTTTTAATTTTCAATTGTTCACATTTCTCGTCCAATTCATCCAGTAAATATTTGAAATCTACTGTAGATTCTAGTGGATTACAGTAACCATTGGAAAATGCCATTTTCTCCAAATAAATGATTTTTGGGGTCGAGTGAGCAGCCAAATGAAGGATGAACTGAAAATGGTTAATTAGTAGAGTAATTAAGTAGCTAATTACCTCTGGAGAACATTTTCCAATTTCTGGAATTTTTTCATCCACTGCTTCGAAAGTTGATTTGATTTTAATAGGCACGATATTGATGTCTGAAAAAAAATTAAATTTTTGGGAATTTCAGGAAATCCGAAAATTTGAAAAAACCCCAAAGACTGAACTCAAGAAACTTCCAAAAATTAGGATTTTTCAAAAATTCGGGAGCTCATTAAAAATAAACCAAAATTGGAAAATTTCAAAAGTTTCAAAATAGTCAAAAATCCTAAAACCTGTGACTCTCTGATTTCCAAAAATTTAGAAATTCCAAGACTTCGAAACTTCCAAAAATTTATAATTTCAAAAGTTGCGAAATCTCAGAAAGAATTTCTTGACTATTTTAGAAACTTCCAAAATCCAAGAGCATTTCAGAAGTTCAAACTTTATTCAAAAATTCAAAAATTCAAAAAATTTTTGATTTCAAAAATTCTGAAATTCAAAAAAAATTCGGAAATTTGGAAATTCTGAAAATTTCCGAAAAGCTGAAAACTTGAAATTTCAAATATCCCATAATTTGGATATTGCGAAAATTAAAATTTCCGTAAATAAGTTACACAAATTCAGAAAGCCTAGAAAATTCAAAAATTCAGAAATTCCAGAAAATTCCAAAAAATTATCTTCCTCACTTTTTCTTGGACTCTTCAACAGTTCGTCCAAAACAGCTTCCGACGGATTTTTCTTCCAGAATTTGAAGAAACGATTTTCAAATGCTGAATTTTTTTCATTTTAATTAGAAGAATAAAGAAAATAAAAATTTCAACTTGCCAGTAATAACAACGGTTTTTGCGTCCTGAAAAATTGAGAAAAATTAGTTAGTAATTGAAAAAATTGAAATATTAATTTGAAAAAAAGATAAATTTCAAAAGTTCAGAAATTCAATAAAATTCCAAATTTAAAAAAAAACAAAATTAAAATCCAATCATTCAGAAATGGAAAAAACCAAAACTTCCTAAGTTTCCGAATTTTCAAAAATCCAAATTTCTGGAAATTTCTGAAATTCTGAAAATTCGGAAATTTTCAATTTCCAAAAACTTTAATTTGTAATATTCAGAAGATTCAGAAATTATAAAAAATAGTTTCGAATTTTCATAGATGCGAAAATTAGAAAAATTCAGAAGTTAAAAAGAAACGATTCTGAAAGTTCCTAAAATCCTAAAATTTTGAAAAGTTCATAAATTCTAAAAATTCCGAATTTCTAAAAAAAAAGGTTGATACTGTATATCAAAAAATTTGATATACCGTATTAAAAATTTCCACAATTTCAAAACCTCTGAAAAGTTTAAAAAATTCAGAAATTCCAAGAACTCGGAAATTCCAAAAGTTAAAAAATTTTAATTTCAAAAAGTTTAGAAATCCAAAAATAACAAGTTTTCCAAAAACCTGTAATTTCAGAAATTACCTGTCCAGTAACTGTTCCCTTATTACACATGGTGAGCATATCAGCCGGATCACCAAGACAATCTGTCTGAAATTTTTCGAAAAAAAGTATTTCAGTTTTTTGAATTTCCAGAAAAATCTGAAAATCCAAAACTTACTCCCATCATTTTTCGTCTTTTTTTATGTAGAAAATCTCTGTAAAACTATCAGAATTGATGAAAATTTCGAATCTTTAAACTTCAAAAATCAACAAAAATGAAAAAGAAAAAAACGGACGGTTCTTCTTCGTTTTGTTTTGTTTTTGAACACAAAATAGATCGATTAACTTTTCTAATTAGAGAAAAAAGAAGAAGAACCAAAGTTTCTTTTTTATCTTTTAAATCAAAAAGAAACAACATCTAGTTTTCGATTCTATCTAAAAAGTTTACTTTGAGAAAAAAAATGAGAACTTCAGTCAAAAAGTAAATTCTGTTAAAACTTTCTGAAAATTCAGAAAATGTTCTTAAATTCCAAAAACTCAGAAATCCCAGAAAATCTAGAAAGTTTAAAAAATTTAGAAAATTCAAAATTTCGATTTCAATATCAGAAAATGTTTATTTGAAATAATTTTCAATTTAATTGGACAATTAAATTTATTAGTTAATTAATTAATTAGCAATCAATTCTGGTCAAAATTTGAATGAGCTCTCTGATGACGCTGGTTACAACTTCTTTGGTGCATTCTCCGCTGAAAATTATATACCGTAAAACCTCTAATAGAACGACACCCGGATCGTCCACTTTGAGCCTATATATCTCATTTTCTGTGAAAGATATCAAAAAGTGGCTAACTAAAAA